TAAAAAGCATACAAGAACAGGAATTCAAGCATTGGCAACTGACTAAACTATTAGCAAATTACCATTAATTTTCAAACTGATTGTAGCAGTACTGATTGGCAGCAGTACTAATCGGACGATATAAGTACTCACCTTATAGTAATGTACAAGTCTTACATTCTGTTCGTCTCCGCCAATTAGTGTATATTCATCACCCGCAACTTCCGGTGTGTTCTCTCTACGATAATCTGTCCAAAATTCAACTGAAAATGTATTACTAAGTTTTTTCTTGGTGATCCACATACAGCCCACATATAGCAATTGCGTTACTACTCGAAAATGTTACTCGCTAAATGTATAAATAACTACGACAATTCATCAAGACAGTGCGAATAAAAGTTGCCTCGAGAATGAAAAGCAAAGTAGTTTTGAGCGTATGTCGTAAAATATCTAATGATCAAAATATTAAATATTTACTAGCAATCGGTTGAACTTGTCGTTCAAGCTCGGGGAAGTCTCGAAGCATTGCAAGCGTGCCATTTATGCGAAGGTCAATATAACGTAACTGATGAATTAATATTGGTTCGTATATTTCTGCTTCGTCCTAGATAGTTGCATATTCGTTTACAACTTTTTTATAAGCAAATAAACGGTTCAAACAAATTGGACGAGAGAGTGCCTTATAAGTGAACTGAGAGAGGGACATTCCTTCAGTAAGCAAGAAAAAATGAAGTCAAAAATAATAATTACTCGATCCGTACGAAGCAAATGTCGGAAGCGGTTAATCATATGTGTTCGATCTTTTTCTTCAGCGCGAATATACGTCTGTAATAAGAAATTTATTTTTATTTAAGATTAAATGCAAAAGATAAATTCCAATCTGATGAATTAAAATAGTGTGCTGCTAAATAATTCAAATCGTGCGCTGGTTACTTCCCACTGATACATCATGCATATTTCTAAACAAAAAGGGTGAGGTTAAACCTTAAGTGTTTTGAGTACATTATGTTTATTCGGTGCACCCACTTGCACAGCCAAAGCCGCACGGTAATCATGAGTTGCCTGAAAGTTGACAGAATTCTGAATTATTTTCATCCTTGCTAGTCACTGACAAAAATGGATCCTTATTCTTGCCACTCACTCAAATTTGTTAAGAAAAAAAAGAATAAAATGCTCCTCGCCATTCTAGATCCGTCAATCCCTCTGAAAAGGAAATGAAGATGAACATTTATTCTGCAATCGATCAGTAAACGAACAGATAAAAAGGATGAAAATTATCTTTTGCTTGCTTTCAGAGAGAAACGTCTTTTTTTTGTGGAAGCACAAGAAACATAACCAATGGTTAAGTCTTCACAGATCTATTATGTGAAAAGCAAAACTACGACTACGGTTCCTGTCACAAAAATTATTGGTTTTATCACTACTTTTTTAGCTTTACTTTGTTAGCTTTCTTCGCCCAAACTGCTAATTAGAAAACGCAGGTGAAGAAAATTTGTACACCTGTCTCTTCTTTTCATTAAGATGCGCTTGCACTCGTTCTTCATGAACGTCCTCAAGTTGCTTTTTCTGTTCCTTATTCTCTTCCTCCAGTGAAGCAACCTGAAAATGAAAAGTTGCATTAAAATTTCTTAGTCAAAGCTTTTTCATTAGGAATCGTTTGAAGTGAACGAACCGTCTTTTGGAATCGAGAAGTCATTTCCTTCTTGAATGCTTCAGCACCCTTTTCATCCGTCTTTTTCATTTTCTTGTAACGCGCTTCAAGATCGGACCATTCACGCATGACCTTTATAATTTGTTGAATGCTACCAATATCAAATAAACTAATTTAAATTACAACATTATTGGTAGGTGTTCCACCAATGACAAACAAAACTGTTTACATATGTTGTCATGTCGTAAAGGTGCAGAACTTACAGAAATACCTTATTAATTTTAGCGCGATGACGTTTTTCCACGCGTTGTTGCGCTTCCTTGAAACGTTCATGCTCATTGACAGGATCGGACATCTTGAAATATGGATCTTGTAAAACGTTTTTGGCCAAAAAATCCTTTTCGCCATCTAAACAAAACATAGTTAAATTAAGAAGGATTAGGTTACGACTCAGTTGCAAATTATAAAAAAAAAGCTAAAATTCCTATATACCACCATCGGGATCCTCGGTATATTCACCATCATCATCATCATTGTCATTATCATCATCATCATCATCATCATCATCATCATCATCATCATCATCATCATAGTCATCATCATCATCGTCCTCAGTTTCGTCCTCTTCTACTTCCTTTTTCTTTGATTCTAAACCTAACTTCATTGAAAAAAGATCTTTCGTATCATTCTTGACCAAGAGAAAACAGCTGAATTTACAGTTACATTTTGTTTTGAAAGGTTTTCAAGAGTAGTAAAGCAAGTAACAATGATACCTTCGGTTTTATTATCCCCTGGACAGCAAACGAATTCAACACCAGTGAAAAGATCTAACCCACAAGGTTCAAGAACTGCAAATGAACGCACTGCCATTCGCTTATCATTAACAACCTAAAATTAAAAGTTATCCAAAAACTGAGGGAAAACACTGAAAGTTCCAGTGCATTCATAAGATTTTTAAAAGAACATTAAAGTTTCGTGGAAATTTCTGGACACAACCTAAAATTGTATTTTTTAAAGAGGTTATGAATGAAAACAAAATAGTATCCACTTTGGTAAAATGAATAAACTGACTTTAGTTTTACATTGTTTGTACGCAGCATCCTTCCAGTGCGCATAATCATTGCATGATTGACGATCATTGATATGGCCAAATCGGCAACCGTGTGGTACTTGAAGTGCTTCCGAGTGGAACTCGCCAACTAAATACAATTCAGAATTAGTTCTCTTTCCCAACCACTAAATGTATCATGTAGACAATCAGGGTGATAATTTTTAAAATCTTACATTAGTCCCTGACCTCCTGATTAGATAACAGATTTGTAGAACCTTATATTAGTGCCCAAATCCTGACCTCTTTCTAAGGAAGTCTTCATTTTTTATATGACGCAAACCTAGAAGAAAAAGGGAGGAAATCCTATGGTGACAATACAAAAGTAAACTTACTAATGCATTGGTACGGCCTCACAGTATGCGTCCATTTACATGGTGAGCCTTGCTCATGGCACCACCCAGGAATTTCTACTTCATGTGAATACTCCACTATATTCGTGACGTCCAATTTCGGATATGACTAAAAAATAGTTTATGTATTTTTAATATAGCATTAATGCAGCATTACAAAATCACTCGAAATTCGAAAGTTTTTTTAGGCGAACTGTAGTAACTACTTTTGCTATATTTTCTCATCTAATACAACCTAGATCGGTTCTTGAAGCATTCATTCTTTTGCCTTTAAAATTTAGACTTTAATTCTTGAACAACAGACTTGGAAAAGAACTGCTGGACTTCAATATAACTTTTACAAAATGCAAATTTCAATCATTGTCCACTCCCAAAATCCTTACTGCAACTGTAAAATAAATCCAATTCCTAATAAAAAAATTAAATTCACATTAGAACTATATATATGTATATATTTGCAATCGCCAAGCGTACAATCAACAAATAAATCTGATTTTCTGTCTATCATATAAAACGGCATATAAAACGATTTCGTTGAACAAACATGAAGGCCATAATGTACTGTTTGGTTTATTTTTCTTTTCTTTGAAGAGTGATGAATATATTCCGGAGAATCCAACAGTGAAAGAAAGATCAAGATCAGTTTTTCATGAAAAGTAAAACAACATAGGGTGAATAAGCAAATGGAGTAATACAAAAACCGAAGTTGTCCAATTTTCAGACGACTATTCACACTGACACCGAAACGAATCAATCGTGAGCAGCATCACAACTGATAAGTAAGTAAAAATAACAGTGATACAGTAAAACGATAGAACGTCAAAAGAAATCCGAAGCAGCAGATGGATGTTTAAAGCAAAAATCAGACTGATCATACTATTTAGCTACCAGTGTAACAATTTATTTCATCTGTTCACAAAACAACAGGTACACTGGGTTTTGAAAAATATTAAAAAAAAAGTTAAAAATATTTTTTATCATTTTTAAGGAATAGTTATGTCATTACACTCGGTCAACCGTACGAATTTGTGTTCCAGTTAGTAAAAAACCTTATCTGTGGCAACGAAAATTGTTCAAAATTAAGAAAACAAATTTTTTTTCTATTCGGGAGATTTCGATTGCAAAACCAGTTCTAATAAAAAACAAGTATTTGAGTTCCCAGAAAAAAAAACTACGAAGTAATAAATTGATATCCACAACTGGACACGTTTTTTCACTTGACGTGCCGGAAAAACAAGTCCATTTTCGAAAGACATTAAAAATGCGTGCAGCATAAAAATGAAAATTGAAGAAAAATAAAAGCACCTACTTTTCGGCAATATTTTAAGATATCGAGCTTTCCACTGAGACATGTTGCAAGAGTACTTGGATCGCTCATCCATGCTCCATCTTCACCCATGAATCTGTTTCGGAAACCACACTCAAATGCGACCAACGGAACAAACTTCTCGTGCTTCTTTACTTTCCGTGAGTTTGTGTTAGCAGCAACATTCTGAAGACGGGAGTCAAACTACTATAAAATCTTGAAATTTCTATAAAAAATTTCAGCTAAACAGAGAATTTTACAAAACATCCTTAAAATAACACCCTAGGATTCAATAAATTAATAAAGCTAAACACTGCATTTTTTCTAATATTTAAGGTAAATTTCAAATAAACAAGTGACGGATATTTCAAACAGCTGTTCAAACATGACCCAATAGAAAAATTATCGAAGTTGCAATATTCAGTTGAGATAAAGTTACTTGAGATAAATTACACCTTCGTCATTTTTTAGCTCTTATTGAAAGCTGTAAATTCCATTTTTATTATTGTCTTCCCTTTTTTCTGATAAGCAACAGATATAGTGATTTCCAATTTAGAGTTAATATTATTTTTAACTATTATTCTGGTCATATGAATAAGCAAGCGAAGCTTTGCATGAATTCCTAACGAATATTAGTATACTGCTGCAAGAAGCATTCACGCTATACCTACCACAACATCTGATAAGTTCACGGCGTGAGTTTTTCAGAAATTTTAGTACTGCAGAGATCACATTAACAAACTTCATTATAAGGTTACAGTAAGCTATTTATATCGATAGCTAACTGCATTGCATTACAATGCCAGTCATTTATAACTGTAAACTGAAATATTTAATTAAGGAATGAATTTCTGCACAACGTTTTCCCTAATGAAGTGTTGCAGCAGGTAACATTTGCTTGACGATTTAAAAGTCAGCAAGCATAAATACAAGGAAATCTGAAATAGTGTTGAAGAAAGCAACCAAGCATCAATTAGTCAATCAGTCGTTGCCACTATTCGATATCTATTTTCTTGGATTTTATATTTATCATTAGAAAATCAAGTCAAGGTAACAGGATTCTCGCAAATCTCAGAACGGAAATTTCTGAGTGCGCTGTACACGCGCAACACAAACTGTACAAGCTCCCCAATAAATATTCAGGCTTTCTATCTCCAGTCTATCCTAAATCTCATCGTTTTCTCTATGCTTCGGACATCTCGACCACGTGCACTGTTCAACTTCAAAAACTGCAATGGCGAAAAATGTAAAACGATGTGGGCTGTCAAAGGACAATCAGCTATTTTTCTTTCCTTCTTCACGACAGAGGCAAGCCAAAAACAAAGAAACAAGTGAGAGCAATATGTAAGGGGTCGCCACTAACCCATACGAATATCTAATTCCTTTATTAATTAGTTCTTAAGTACAAAGCACATCAAACGGTTTTGGTTGAAAGCTACGTTTTTTTTAATCCCAGAATGAATCTGAATTTTCACTTCTCTTCAAAAAAGTGAATGAGTGGTTAGATGTCTTTCGATATGCATTTCTCAATACATTTCATTATTTCACCAATTTAAAATTTAATTAGTCCCAAAGTATTGCAAATCATAATTAAATAAACAGACCTCGACGTGTGCAAATAACGATAACTGTATGACCGTCACCAGAGCCGTCATCAAACTACACCCAACCATCTTTCTGAAAAAGAAGGAAAAATTCCAAAAAATTCAAAATGAAATAGCGAAGTTCAAACGCAAATACAAGTTTCAAATGCAAAAATACAGATAGATACAAAGATACAGATAGATACAAAAATACAGATATATATTCAAATACAGATACTGCTATTAGATTCGTAAGTTCAATAAGGTACTGTTAAAACACGTAACCATCATATTCGATAAAATAGGGATTATTGTTTAAAGTAATGCAAATAGTTAATAAGAAGATGAGGGATAACGCTAGTTTCAATAGCCGGATTCTAGCACCCAGAGCTTCCAATAACTCTCTCATAAATCAAATCACAGTAGCGAGGCTCACTCACATGACACCACCCATTATATATACATATGTATATACATATATAATATATTCCAAATTTATTCAAAAATGAAATTAATGTCAATGGGACAAATTAAATCCTTTCAACTCTTCAAAACGAAGAATAAACACTGGCTAGAAGATTTGGTTATACAGAATGAAAGTAACTTGAGAAAAATGTCCGGTTAATGCTCGCTTTACGAAAACGACGAAATTGATAATACACATCGTAGTTGACGACGTCACGTCCTCCCGACTATATGTTATTTGCTTGCCGGTGCAATATAAAAGCCAATAGAGGGTAGCATATATTTCAGCACAAGAAAATCTCGTCAACTTTGTATAAATTAGTCCAGAAATGGAAGACAACACTAGTACTAGCAACCGATCAATAAATATATCCTTGACCTTGAAAAGAAAAAAACCGTTCACTTGTAATCCCTGAATTATTTTCAAGGAATCAATGACAATGGTACCGCTGGACATTACAGCCTTAATTCAACCTTACAGGAATGACGGAGAACGAAGGAAGAACACGCATATGAACACTAAAACAGCAGCCCATACACATCTTCATGTACGTACACTAAAAATATACGCGTTTATGCATAAAAATGTTTACTGACTATATGACCAATTCCTAACAAAGAGGGTAAGAAAAAAGTGGGAATGGAGGAAGGATGTTACGAAGTTAACTTGGGTAGCATCCTCTCTTTCCCTCTACTACCTTCCTAATCATTCTATTTCGCTTTCAGTTCATTGAATTGGTGTGTTTCAGACCCTTTATGATGAGGCGTCTACCGATAGTCTTTTCTTTCCTCCATTCTTTCCTTCCTATATTTTTCTGAACTTTAACCAACTCATTTCAAATGAAACTATACACCACACGGTTCTGCATGTTACATACAGTTACCTCTCTTCGGTTACATTTTACTGGTTCAACTATTTTTAATTTGTTTATCGAGGCTAATGATTTTATTGAAGGTTCGGTAACTGCACCAATCCTACTTTATCAAATTCAACTTTGGCAATTCTGGACCAGCTACGCCTTATTTAAATAAACTGAAACCATACCGAACCAGCTGAAAAGACTGCTCAATTCCTGACTTCAAATAATGGTTCAAATATATATATATATATATATATATAGAAAAAGAAGGAGCAACAGAGGCGAAAACGGAAAGGACACTCAATATGTCGTTGGAAACAAAGGCAGATATACGAATAAACCATCCCAAACCAATGTGTTTCTTTTTACGGGGCGTTAATGCACTCGCGCTCGATGTTTGCATAGAGCACCTTCTACATAGTCTTCTCACAGAATATCTTCTTTTGTAACCTCTGTCATAGGTCTCTTCCTTGTAGGATCTGTCATCACTCCGAGAACTTCAACTGTTATCCTTCTCTCATCCTTTATATTATCATAAATAATACCTGTGGTTAGGTTTGGCGGTTTCCAAATTGATTACGATGGGTCTTAATCTGGAGCAAAGAAGCTTAATTCTTCTTACATTAGTTGTGTACTTCAGGTCTGCTACGTCGCTGACACATCCCTTCGTTTCTCTCGATGATCTACAGACTTGTCTCTTTGTCACATCGATTACTTAAGTCGGAATGGAACAATTTTCGATAGCTTACTGGAGTATATTTAAATACCAAATTTACCTACAGTGCATGTTGCATGCTTTCATGTTCCCTAGCCCCAAAAAAAACACGCATTAGTGGCTTTGAAAATGCTGGAGGATGTTGAAAAGATTTTTTTTAATTAAAAACTACTTTCAATCTATTGGTGATTTGCTACTAACTGGATTCTCACAACATTACGCCTTTATTTCCCTCTGCTCTCATAACAAAACGATCGATATTTAAAATGAACCATCAAATACTTGAAAAGCATCCTCTTTCTCATATGTGATTTTGGATTCCCATGGCGTTTAGCTTTTGAAATATTTTAATCATTGCTTTTCCATCGTATACAGTGCGCAGAAGTTTAAACTGAAGTATAAGCATATCCACATGTGTTTTCATCATTTAAGGAAAAAGTATGCAATGTGACTCAAATGTAACATATCCAGCAGAACATATAGTTGGTTATCTAACCCGCAACTTTCAAGAAGTTAGGAATGTCAAGAAATTCTCGGGCCAAATGACGGGATAGGAAGATTTCATGATCTGTTTTTGGAACCTCAATTAGGACGCTTTAACTTTAGTGGTAAAGCAACTGCATTTTCAAACTTTTCGCATCTACAAAATTACACCTTTTAACCACGACAGCTATCATATATCATACTCTAAAATCTCAAATGAATAGCTACTTTTGATCCCAATTTGGATAGACTGAGAATGCCGATTGCGCCTCAACCTTTAAATGTCAAAAGCAAACAAATTGTAGCAACACAAGAAAGCAAACCATTATAAAAATTTTCTCCACACAGTTATTGGTTCAACAGTGAGATACAGGTTAACAGCTGGTACCAACCAGCTAGCAGCAAGTCATGAGCACATCGGGATGAATATTGAACCTTTGTCTCCTCTAATTTCAACGATAAATGTAAACATCGAACTTACGATGGCTCGTCGTTTTCCCCAATGTTTTTTTTTCTTTTTTTTTTACAAATGAACATGTGCATCCATTAAAAAAAACGAGATCTTCGAACTGCTGCTTCTGAATGTTTACAAAAATCTCGAACTATTCTTAAGAACTTGAATTACTTCCAGACGTAGAATGATCTGAGAAAAGTTGAAACGACGAGAAAACTTGATTTCACATCTCCAGTTTGAGATCTAAGTTACCGTACTCAGGAAGCATTTGCTTCATAATTTTCTTCTCTCTGGCGGAGCTAATATTTGCTGCGTACAGCCAAACGGAACAAAAATGGCAGGGAGCGCAAAGCGGAGATAAACGCAAACATTCGGATATAATATTGGAGAATTCTGAGGGGAAAGAAGACAGAGGAAGCAAAAAGTAAAATTATCGAGTTTTCTTATTCTCATCTAAAAAAAATATTTATGAAACTACTAATTTTGATTTAAAAAAATCTACTAACTGATGGAAGCTTAACATATGAGAAATAGACCGAGAACGTCGTAGGGTAGCGAAGTAAAAACGATATTCCTAAATCAAGCATGAATCAATCGATTTTGAAGTTATCCACGCAGAGAGAGAAGTAGAAAAGTGGAAAGCAATAGATTCCAGCAGCAGAACTTATTAATCCGAAAGCATCATATTTACACCCTAACTTTTGCTTTTCATTCTGTCTTTAATCCTAAATCCGACTTGGTCATTTACCATTTTGTCCGGAAATGAATAAAGTTAACTGTTGAAATTCACATTTCTAAAACAAAATTATGGCGATTCAAATGAAAACACATTAAAAAACAAACCTAAGTATCATCATGAGGAAGTGACAAATTTTTCCTCAAAATTAGAAAATGGCTACGTAGCGCTTTCCCATAACATTAAATATGCTTGAAATATCAAAATGAATAAGCTTGATAATAAATTTAGGGCTATGAAAAGTGAAATGACAAATGAGAATGCTTACTAAAGCTGCCAAATGAAGGCAAATTTGATTTACTTCAGTTCTTGCCTGACAACACAACAAGGCCCGTTACGAAGAATATCTGCTTCGAGTTTAGTCTGCCACTCAGTTTACCATTACACTTTACTGCATGAAATACACATACTGTTCGTATCCAAAAAGTGAAATTCCCTTAGAATGAGAAATTCGAAGCTTTACAAATTGAATTGCAGCGTGCTTGTAAAAAAAAGCATTAGCATTTTGCTGCGAGAAAAAACTCTAAGCATGGTTGGCGTCAGTGATAAAAAGAGAAAGGAAAAATGATTATCGCCACCATCATTACCATCCTGAACACTACAAAAACAAACGACGAAAAATGATGAATAATTCAATGTGAGAGGAATTGTTTCCTGCATCACATCATGTGGAGAGTTGCAGCAGTCACTTGAACATTATTTCATTGCCAACAAATTATCATAAGATCCCTCTGCACGCCACATCATGAAAGAAAATGAAAATGTTCACTGTATCCGTGAAATATATTTCAGGTTGGTTCCGAAAGCTCCAGCCAAATCAAAGATTCTATTGCCAGTGTATGTAATGTACCATAAAAAGTACGCATCGTTTCAGTAATGGATTAAAATGATGAAAAGGAGCTCACCTTAGCGGGAATTTCACATCTGGAACACAGCCTAGAGGAGCTGATAAGAAGTGCATTAAGAAGTAGGCATTGGACAAAAAAAGAAAAAAATCGAGTTCAAGAATTACTGCCGTGCTCATGAATGCAGCTAACCTACATCATGGGCACGAATATAGATGGTCTCCACTGTTGAAAGCGGAATAACTACAGCGATGTAGCCCACACAGCCAAGCTTTCTCATACTATCAACGCTACAGTGCGAGACTTTTTTGGTAGGATTAGGAAGCAGGATAAATAGAATCGAGGTTCAATTGAAAAAATGCTAGAAGCAATATAAAGGAGGAGTGATTTGATGGATAGACGACAAATGCATCCCCTACAAACTGACTAGAGAGAACTGAAGGAAGAGATCGAGGACTAGAAGTGTCGTCTAAAGAAAAGAAGGAACAATGTGCTACCACCAGTTTACAATATCATATTAAAGAAGCAAATATCATCCTGTCTTCTCTCACATTTATCAACTGCCCGAGAGATCGCGAATGAACGGGAGATAGGAAATAGCTTCCGTCTAGAAACCACTGTTTATTTGAAAAGCTGGATCACAAAGAATACAAATGGAAGACAACTTTATATGTAAAAATTATAAGATGCAAGAAACTATGAAATGATGAAGAACACGCATATATTAACTAACGATGAGGTAGGTAGGTAGAGAGAAACAACCTTATGGAAGGCAAAAACAACATGTGGAATCGATACCTGCTTTTGAGCAGCAAACACCAGTCAGTTAGTGTTTATCGACTCTCCCACTTCAAAAAGAATCTTTTAAAATTTCCCCTTTTTGTTTTCGAACAGCAGAATTGTATCCGCTCGATGAGAACATTCTTTTCGCTGAAGAAATGTAAAGCCAATAGATTATGAAAACTTTTAGTATAGGAATGAAAGTGATAAAATCAAATTGTAACAGGCACATAACACATATTGCTAGAAATTTTGATATCCTGCGCAATCAGTTAACGTGGTGAGAATGCAGCGAAGAGTAATAAGCACTGTGGTATCGGATGTTGACAGGAATTATAAAGGTTGGAAATTCCAAATTATAACAAAAGATGAAAATATGGGTTGGCTAAGCCTGAACAAAATGAAATCCAATTATCCTCATAAGATCCATGCAGTCCCAATTCTACGCGAAAGATTTTACAGTAATTGGAAAAAAAACTTGAAGACCTCACGACTAACAGTCATAGTTGATCAGTGAATTTTTATCAGCAAAATGATAAAGGTAAGCGTGTGACACTCATTTGATAAGCTTCAAAAGGAAACTTGGGAGCTTTCTCGTCAAATTTTAACATAGGACAAGAAAAAAAGTAAAATTGGGAGAGAAGTAAAGCAAATATGAAAGGTAAATAATGAAACGCTAATAGTGATTGCTCAAGGTGTGGGGGACTCTAAAGAACTTTTTTCAGCTGGAGAACTAAATTAAATCCTTTGAAATTCGAGTGAAAGTGAGGGTCGATTAAACAATGTATTTCAAATTAAATTTATTGTGGTGACAAAATTAAAATTTAGGGTTTAGATAAAATGAAGATCAAAACTCCTTCCAGTATTCCTGTGAAATATTGAACAGGGACGGAAGGAAGCCAGTTTGGTGAGATGATGATGTAGTGAGGGAAGTTAAATATGGAATTGTTATCTCTCTCTCCCTCTCTCTCTTCTGTTAGTAGGCAGTTCAGTGAAGCATAGAAAGTTCTCGTTTTTAAAAAAGAATGAATATCATCGTAATGCCTTAACATCACAGACACACAGCTTCTATCCATTCGGACGGGACGATTGTTGAATGCATGAAACGAATGATAATCATCGTGCCACCTCATCAAGCCATTACTGATAAGCACAAACGTTTAAGTTTCTTGCTTTTTCATTTCACTCTCTATCACTTTCGTAAATATTTCATTTATACAATGAAAGAGGTGACTGAAATGACATTTAATACGGCACCAAATCAGTGGAGAATAAGTGGTGGGCATTTGGATCTGCACATCTTTGGAAAGTAATTCCGTTAATTTTAGAGTAATTTCTTACTCCATATTAAATTCACCATTTGAAATTGGAGAAATTGTAAGAGATTTACAAAACACACTACAAGTTGCTTCTATCATGAAATTTGCTTGAAGAGG